TTTTTTTGGGAAAATTTGGGCAAAGCCCGTATATTAATCAACTGAGGTTACATGTAAAAAGAAATAACTAAGGCCACAAGAGGCTGGCTTGAAGAAGCCCAAAAAAGAAGGCAAAAGATTACATGCTTTAAATTTGACATTTTGAGTACAGGAAAATAAACAGAACAGCCAAATGGACTAAGATTGCAAAAAGATCAGATCCCAACGTGCCTAGACTCAGGAAATTATCATGAATGTCTTGATCCCCCGGTTGCCCCAAAGGCCGTCCACAGGGAGCCTGCATTTGGGTACACCATAGTCCAAGGCAATACCTGCAGGCAAAGCCAATCGAAACTTAGCGTCATCCACGAAGGCAACATAAATAGCATAATAGAAATTCCAACAGTGAAGCAGAATTTTTTTATTTAACCACTTTCTCAAAAACCGCCCTTTTAGTGGTTATGTGTGTTAATTATGATTTGGTTATTAAAGGTTATGTAATTTTCATGTATTTTTATCTGAATTATGATTAGTATATTTAAAATTTTCATTAATTGATTGCTTAATTTTGATTAAATTTAATTAAGGCTATGTTGATAATATAAACTAATCCTAAGGGGATGTCACTAAGTTTTCTATGTTCTGTGTTTCTACCCTAAAATGTGCATGAATCCTAAGTCTAAATTTTATAAGACTAAATCCTTAAGTTTTTATCCTTAAATGTCACTAATGTTATATAAGATGAAAAATTTTGTTATCACTAACCCTTAAGACATTGCGCGCGTATAAAAGGGGTTTAGGGATCTAAAATAAAATAAAAATAAATCTAATAAAACTAAAGTTACTACATTGACCTAAAGGAAAAGGCACAAACCACATTAAGGGCCTCCTAGAAGCTTTCTAAGTTTTAGAATACTTATAGTCACCGGGGGCTATGACCCGGTGGTTCCGCCCTAGCACCTCCACCCGGTTGGATGGAGGCGACTGACGCCTTTTATTCCTTGTCCTTTTGTTCACTCGACCGGTACCATTCATCGCAGTTCATGCAAGTAAAGAAGAGAAAATAGGGATTAGAAGCATAATTGATAATTAATAATGAAATAATTGAAATTTATTAAAAATAAAAAATGTACCTTTCTTCGGGCTTGGATACCGATTTGAGCAAATACCGAGTTTTTTCACGAGAGTTTTCCTCCGATCGGACCTTCCTCTACGTCCTTACACCGGACCTAATAAAAATTCGAGACCATGGGGTTGGGTTCTAACCGGCCTAACCTTACCTTAGGTTTAGCCCAAATCATCTTTTGATTTGAATTTTAAATTTTAAAGGTGATGTTTAGGACATTTTAATTATAATTTAGAAGAAAAAAATGGCAAATTTTATTTAAAACATAGAGATAATTTAAATTAATAGAATAAGTATATTTGAATTAAATGAAATTAATAAACATTTCAAATTGGATTAATTTAAATTCTTTTATTTAGTTTAACTAATGTCATTGGTTCGCAACGAGTCAATCAGGGCTAATCGGGGCTATTTAAATCGAACTCGACTCGAGTTAATTTGATTTGGTTTCATATCAAATTACTTCATAAAGTTAAATTTAAATTAATGGGTTTGAGACAAGTTCATTCGAGTTTAGTTTGGATCAGATCATGAGGTCAAGTTGAAAAGTCAAGTCGGTGCTACGTCAGTATGCATCCACTTAAAGGGATCTTAGGGATAACATCTACACTAGGTTATGAAAACCTATGTGCTAGAGTTAATTCCAGGGAGATTGACCTCGAATAATGAGGTCAACATATACCTTCGCCGAATGCAATGCACTATCTTGTTGAGTCTTGATTGAGGAGAAGAAGTCTATTCCATTGGATGCAATGATTGATCTGCAAGATGATATTATAAGAGAAAGAATCTCAAACATCGTCGCTTCATCGGTGTACAATTGTGTTGGGGTTGAACGGCGAAAGATACTCCAAGTAAATGTCATTGTGGAGATCAACCTAGAGGAAGAAGATCTTGTTTTTATGAAATTAGATGATGTGGAGTTCCTTCGCAAGTGAAGGATGAATTTGTTGCAGAAGAATGTTAATAAGAACATGGCAATGGCAGGCCGAGAGGATGATTTTTGTGTTATTTGTTTGCAGGAGATGAGGGCGGGGGGAGAGTTGGTTTTCACGCCTTGCATTCACCAATTTCGTTATACTTGCATTGGTAGGTGGTTTGAAAAATCTGGCTCTTGCCCGTTGCACCGATTCAAGATTGACCATAAACCCTAAAAAAAACAAACAAACCAGCAAACCTTCTGTAGCTATAATTCATTATGCCCCTCTCTATATTTCGAATGTATATCATAATTAAATAATTTTAATATTTTTTACAATATCCAATTCAATCCTCTTTGAACCCCGAACCACTCCTTCTGGTCCAATTCAGAATTGATTTTTAAAAACTTGGTAAAATCAAACCTTAATTCAATTCTTCAAAAATATCCCAATTTTGCATCAAATTTACACATGATTAAGGCTTTGATTGGGACGGGTTTCTTACTGCTTTGTAAAGCAATTTTTTGATACAAAAAATAAAAATTTTCTACTAAAAAGTTGCTTTACAAAGCAGTAAGAAAACCGCTTCAAACGAAGCCTAAAATTATGATTGAAGCCATAAATTCATGACTCATCTTGATTTTCAGCAAAGTTATTCCCAAAAATCTTAAGAAAATAATTTAAAAGTTGATCCAAATATATCTCAATTTTTTACATATATATATATATAAAGCCTCGGAAGATTGCAGTCCTCAAAATATTTTAAAAGATGATTTTTGGCTTTGTATACATGGTTTATAGCCAAGTTATACATAGATTCGCCAAATGCAATTCGGCGAATTAACCATCTCTCCATAACTTCATGGAGAATAATGAAAATATTCCAATGGATACAATGGTTCATCCACAATTTTTCTTTATTAGATAGGGATGTAAAAAATACTCATTTATAACAGGCCCGTTAAAAGTTCGATGTAGGATGTTAAGCCTAAGTGAGCTATCTCTAGGCACACCAAGAGGACGAGCGACGGGCATGGTGAATCGGTAGTTTTAAAAATTCTACTGAAAACAACAACAACAACATCAAGCCTTTGTCCCACTACGTGTAGTTGAACAACTATTGTTGTAGTGTTGCTGACACTATCTTGATCTGTTGGAATGATGGATTTCATTTATTTAAAGTTTTGAACTCTTTTGCTTTCGCTCGATATATATAAATATTTGACTTTATTTTGATGATTTTCTTTTAATAAAGCAATGATGAGATACCTTACCTCATAAAATAAACGGTGGATTCTTTTAGGGTAAATGCAACCAGATGGCTTTTGTGTTCTCTTACACCGAGCAAATACATTATAATTAAACAAGTTTTATTATCTAAGCTAATGTAAATGCCGCCTTGGATGGTACTCCCTAAATAATCTTACTCATTTACATTTTACTGATTTTAGTATGATGATTGATTTGAAGTTTTAACCTGAGCTCTAATATATATTAGTATTTAGTAAATTTAATTTATATTTTGCATTATTTTTTATAAATGTAAATATGTAATTTGTAATTTGACAATTAGTTTTAGCATTTTGTAAATGTAATTTGTGTTTATTTATAGCTGCTCAAATAACCAAATAATCAAATAATTATATGTACTTTTGTATTTAGCACTTTAATAGAATTATTTAAGTAAATATGAAATAGCAAAAAATGCCAAAAATAGAGAAAAAAAGGATTGGTGGGTCATTTCGAGTTGGCCCGAACCCGAACCCGATTTCCCGACTCATTTTCATAATAGAGTCGGGTTCAAGTTAGGTCAGCTGACAGCATGTCAAGTTCCGATTGGACCTGAACCTAACCCGAAGACCCTTTTGACACCCTTAATTTTTATTAATTTGATGGACTCTTTCTTACATCATATCAAAAGATGCATGCCCATTTGATATGTTTAATGTTGATGATTTGTTAAATTTCTGAGTTTTGTTTGCTTGTAGACAGGGAACTAAAGTAGAATTTT